GCATTTGAACCAAGGACGTTACAGAATGGCATTTTTACATTTGTGATCCTTGCACTTTACAGCCTCAGATACTGAGAGGGATAAACTTTAAGCTTTTAATAGTTAAGAGCATCATGGCTGTTTTGATTTATTAACTTTGTATTGCTGCCTTAAAATGCTTGCATGCTTTAATTCTAGCTTGTCTTCTAGAAATCTTGTTCTTTGTATAATAAAATATAAATCAGGGAAAAGAATCCATGTTTACAAGCATTAAGCTTCACAAAAATAAGGAGTTGTGTTGCACATGTAGAGCACTAGCTAAAACAGTGATTCTCAACCAGGGTGCCATGAGATCCTTTTAAGGGTGCTAACCCTAACCCTGTGCAGGGTGCAGGTGTGCAAACCCATACACGTGATTCACGAAGATAAACCAAGAGATTTCAAGTAGGAGGCCATGGTGTCAGAAACTGTTCTTTGCAACAGAAGAATTTCTCTACTGTTTTTCCGTAGTTGGTAAACGAATTGAAAGCTAAGAGCTGGCATTTTTCTGAGGGATGCCTTGAGTGCGAGAGCGACAGAGAAATCCTAGGCAGTAATTTTTCCTCCTCAACCCATGTAAGAATAGTTACATTTCACTTGCAGAACTATAATGGGAGACTTCATTTTTAATATTCTCTTTTCCTTCTCCATTCCTTCAGTGTTGCTTTTGTTATTGGAGGAAAGAGACTGTTGCAGAGTCTAATCTTGGGCAAACAGATAAAAAAGGCCTGCGAGAAATGCATTATCAGTGTGAAGCCATGGGGACTAACCTTTTTGGCAGCTGTGCCACGGATAAGCCCTACACCTTCTCCCCCCGTGCCATCCCACTCCTTTTCCCCTGCCCACTCTGCTGCTCTGCTTTCTGCTTCCTTGTGCTCCCTGTCTGATCTCCTGCTCTATTTTCTGTTTTCTATCAGGACACTGCTGCCTGTCCCCACCCCTCCCAAGTCTGCCAGGTGCCATACAGAGACCACCTGTGCCATACAGGTGCCACCAGGTGCCATACAGAGACCACTTGAGGCATGCAGGTTGGCCGCTCTGGTATACAAGGCAGGTCACAGAAGAATGGGGGACTATCGGGATGGCTTGAAAGAGCTCAGGTAAAAGGCCTGAGGACTGGGAATCGTAGGCAAAAAGGATGTAGCTGTTGGGGGAGGAATCGGGAGAGAAGGATCTGTGAGCCAGAAAACTTCAGGCTAAAGTAGCCCACGGTGCACTGAGGAGAAGGATCCTGCTTTTCAAAAGCATGGAGTACAATTCAGATGGCTGCAGCCAGGCTTTTGTTGCCTTTAGATAAAGCAGTTTGGTTGCTTTTTCCTTAAAAAAAAGAAAAAAGAAACTATTTTCACCACTACTTTAGGCCACTGCTCAGCGCAGAAAAACAGCATGCCACGAAGGTAGCGCTACTGAAGATCAATGCCCCCCTTGCTCTCCAGCCATACTAAAAACAATTGATGGGGTGGAAGAATCATGTAAGCACTTGTACTTTGTCCCATCAGCATATTTTCTCATTTGCTAGAAGATATCCTTGTAAGACCCACTGTCAGCTGTAAATATAGCTGTAGTTTTACCTAAATGAAAGGATTACTGCAGAATGCACAATCTGTAAAATACTTCAGCAGCCCAAATGCGATTAGGCATCAATAAAGGAAATTTATTAAAAGGCAGTAATTTGCAAACTTGGCAATATAAATTCAGACAACCAAAACATGATTTTTGTATAAAACCTTAAAGGCATCACCCGCTAACTTTGGCCCCAAGTTTACTGTTTGTTTTAATGGTGAAGGCTGTAGGGCAGATAGATCAAAACTGGCAATTTTAAATCACTTTGATTTAAAACAGCAAGCAGGAGACTTTGATTTAAGTTATCGATTTTAATCTTGTTTTGCATTTGTACCTTTTGGTAATTTTTCTGAAGAGGGGTTGCTTATCACTGGTTGGTAACCATTAAGATATGTTAATTTGTAGCTGAATCTAGCTTTTGCAATAAGTTTAATTTTTGCTAACCAGGAAGATGAGCTATGGATAAATGCTCACATAAGCAATTACATAGTTTAATATATACTCACTCCAATTCTTCATTTTTACATTTTTGTTAAGATGGTGAATAAAACCATTTTTTACTAAATGCTTAATTTTGTTAAATCATGATTTCTGTCAAGCTCTATTTGGATGGAAATGAGATTTCAATTAAATGTACAAAAACCAGCATTTTAAAATTATGGTAGCTTTTAACTAAAAGTGTTGGTTTCATAAGACAGATAGGTTTATTGAAATCTGTTTTGCAGTTAAAACCGATCTGTTTAAACAAAGGAAGCATTATCTGTAGCTAGTGAATTAAGCAGAGTGAGTCTGGTTGCCACATCTTTCAAGATTTGAGAGCTAGCAGATCTAATTTTCTCACACCTTGTTTTTATTCATAGATTGGAAGAGGAAAACAAGCTTTCCTGGTTTTTCAGCTTCCAGTTGGTCTCTCAACTCTGAATGAACTAGTCATTAAAACTGAACTAGATGAATAAACTGAAATGAAGAAAATGTTCTGTGTACCTGCAGAATAGGCGGCTGCTGTCAAATGTGGTTTAGCACTTCATCCTGCCTCCAAGTGCTTAGGCAGTGACTTCCACCAGTTCAGTAATCTGATGTTTTTAGAAAAATAAATATCAGCAGCAAATATGGACTATTTTTTTCATATAATTCAAACTTTATAATAAGCCTGAACCAAAACAGCAGCTCTCACATTTTAATAGGGTTTCATTTAAATTTTTCCTTTTGGAAAAAAAAAATAAAAGGAAAATTTCAATGAAATAAAATCCACATAAAGAAAATCTTGGATTAGAACATTCTCTTAATTTCTTTTTAATTCAAACTTTTAAATGATGAATTCAGACTTTTCAGTATCCATGGTAAGCCAGTCTAGTTCATAGAAGAAATAGTGTTAATAACAGATAAAATGGACACCCATTTTTATGTTTTTAAAGATTGACCAACTAGTTTGGTCACTTTCTTTTAAAATTAGGACTGAAGAGGATATTGTTTTCCTGTGGTAGTTGTAATAGAGACAGGCAGAAGACAGGGTAGATTTGTACTTTCTGAACTAACTAAATCGGAGGCATTGCATAGGTGCCCCCCTCCCTCCATAACTTATGCATTGAGCAGCACCCTATTTGAAAAACCAATTCATTTACCATATTTACTCAAATACAAAACGAGGTTCCCGTTTTCCTGCCCCTCTCCCCTCCATTGGCATAGGAGGTGGAGGGAAGCCTCTTATCTTATAAACACGTACAAAGACATCTCACCAGATATGCTGTCTGACATTAAACTGCTGCTAAAAGCAGCTTGTGCTCAACAGTGGACACCAGCTATGAAGTTGGTTAGATGCAGCCAATGTGGAGCATGATTATAAAACACATGGCCCGTATGGGCAAATATGCTGATGGAGACCTACCACGAAGATAAGTTAGTGCAGCTCATCCGAATAAGATCTATGGTAGTGGCCATTAAGTGCAGTCCCCATCACCGCAGACTTCTCCAGGTGTTGTTGAGCCACTACACTGTGTACATTTTGACTTCCTCTTCACTCCCACAGCCTTCCTTCCCCATTTCCAATAATTCCTGTTTCTTCACTAGCCTTAAATGCCTGGTAGACATCACCAAATGAGGTCCTAAGCAGTTTCCCCAGAGTCCCGTTGTTGCCCCCTCAGCCTGGGACATATGATTCATATGGCCTCCACGAGGTGACGGCAACTAGATTGCCCTCCATCTCATCTGTGTATAAATTTTTGGAGGACCCTGGGACTCATGGCAAGAACATCTGGTTCCAGTTGTGAGTGGGGGGGCTAATGCATATGGGTCCTTTGTGGGGGTATCTGGAGTGCATGCACACTGAGCTGTGGGATCGCCATGGCTCGAACCACTGTTGACTCTGCTGGGGCCCAGCCCAAAGAACTGTATGGTAAATGCACAAGCCTTTGGCTTTGAACTAATATCATGCATAGTTTGTACTACATATAAGTAGGTGCCAGAGTGCTGCTCAAAAGTGTGGTTATGGAGTACCCGTGCTAAAACTTGCCACAGTTTCGAAATAAAAAAGGTAACGTGCATCAGTACTGGGTGAACTAAGTATATGGATACTATGTGCAAATTGCTGCAGCTGTGTCTTACTTCAAGGTTATTGTTTTCAAATTTGCTCCTCACTTCCATTTGTTCAGGGAAAGCAGGGTCTGACAGTAAGGAGAGGGGCAAGGGGCTGCCAGTGGAAAAAGGTGGGGGGAAACAGAGCAAAGGGCTACCTGACCCCTCAGATTTGTTTTCCCTGCTGTAGCAGTGAGAAGAAGACAAATTCAAGGCAAACCTCTGCTAATTAGATTCTATACCTGGAAGATTGCTATAATTTTCCAGGTATCAAATCTGATTATTGAGGGGTCGTCTTATAATCAGGGTAATTTTCTATTCAAGTAAATACAGTATTACAGTGCTTACCTCCTTGCAGAGGGATCAGGTAGGGAGTGCCTTGATCTGTTTATCCCTCACTCCTGGAGCCTGAGCCTGCCCGTATCTGTTTCTCCTCACACTTCCTGTGGCACCCTCCAGAGGATCTTGTGCAGAGGCAAGCAAAGTCCAGCCTGCGGGCCGGCAGTGGGCTCCATGTCCCAGCAGCCCCTGCCCGCATGGCTGGGGCCGGTCTCCATGGAGACCCCAGCCACACCTGTGCTGTGATAACGCAAGGCTGGGGTTGCCATGGAGACCAGCTCCAGCCACGCTGGCAGGGCGCATGGCAGAGCAGGGGGCTGCTCCAGAGCTGCTGGGATCTTGCGGCAGGGGCAGCTTGGTCCGGGAGCAGGGCAGAGCCGCAATCTGTTGCCTCCACGCTCCAGGCAGGGGTGCGCAGGCAGGGGATTGCGACTCCACCCCGGCTTGGGACCAGGCTCTCACCGCTGCGAGGAGCTAGGGCAGAGCCGCGATCCCCTGCCTGCACGCACCTGCCTGGAGCATGGAGACTGCAGATCGCGGTTCTTGTCTGGCCCCGGACCAAGCTGTCCCTGCCACAAGATCCCGGCAGGTCCGGAGCAGCCCCCTACCCTGCCCTGCTCCCCTGTGCGCCCTGCCAATGTGGCTGGAGGCGGGCTCCGCGGCGCCCCCCACCATTCACAGCGCAGGTGCGGCTGGGGTCTCCATGGAGACCAGCCCCAGCCATGTGGTCAGGGGCTGCTGGGAAATTGGAGTCTGGCTGCTGGCCAGATCTACTGTTTTGCCCACCACTGATCCTGTGGCACCCAGGCATTGGCTTCTGTAAGCAGACAGCTGCGGTCCCTTCATGGCATCTGCTGAAGTAAGCCTGCTACTTGCAAAAACACGCCATGTACTTCTGATGCTGTTATTCTATAAGGTGCATATCTGCCTGACTTCAGACAGCTTTGCTAACTGCCTCTGAGGCTTAATAAAACCCACGAACCACCTAAACCCAAACACTTCTCATTGAAGTGCAAAGTCTAGAACATTATATGAAAAGTCTTTTTGAAAGACTTCTTCCAATTTGAGATTTTAAAATAAGAGCCATGAAGCAAAGGCAGTCAATTTAGATTAAGAATGAGCAGGAGGCAACAGGTCTCTGCTAATTTCCTCTTCTCTTTGATAAAATTTGTTGGATGAAGAGTAACTCAGTCTTGATCTCATCTACCTTGAAATGGGCACTGAGATGCTTTGATAATTAGTGTGTTAACACTTTCCATCTTCAAAGTGCTGTACAAAGCTAACTGATTAGACTGGAAGATAAATTGCTTCACTGTAGATCTTACAAGTAACTCTCATGCGATACTGTTGTGTTGGGAAGGAAGGTGTCTGAACTCCTCTGCAGTGCTGCTCCTCCAGGAACGGCAACAGATGAGCGACACCATCGTGTGCTCCGATACCATCTGCTCCCTTAAGCTACTGCGTACCCCACTGTATCAGTGCTGTCCGGAGGTTTCCCAGTCAAGCACCAGGAAGAGATGTTGATGATTTTATTTTTTCCTTGCAGTTAGGACTAAACAAATATTCTCGCATATTTTGGTGGCACTTGACTGCTGGAAGTACCATCTTTGAAAGGATGGCTTGAAAT